TTCCTCCAAGTTGTGACAGGCTCCCTAACATCCTGGTAGGGAGCAAGTTCCTAGGTTATTTTTTTTGCTTGAAAGACAAAAAAGAACTTTATTTTCTAGATTTTTGTCATTAAAATTGCAGGCTTTGTTTTGTTTTTGTTTGTTTATAAGAATATAGTAGTAATTTGTGCCTTGGGTATTTTTAATTCACCAAAAGGATAGTATATTGTATATCTTATTCTGTTTTTAACTTTTTTGCCTCAGCAGCATGACAGAGTCCTTATGCATGTAACTTTCTGGGCTATGCAAGAATTATATACACAGGGATGGGATTCCTGGGTAAAATGAATATGTATCCTTAATGTCACTATGGCAGCTAGGTTGCTGTCCAGACTGGCTGCACGTTTTTGTACTAATCCATGGTGCGAGAGTTCTCATATCCCCATATCTTCAACACTTCATCATGCTTAGAGCTTTTATCTCCTTTTCTACATTCCGTTAGACAGAACAGATTCTCTGCTGGCAACCACTAACTTATTAAAACCCATACGTATATTTACTTTTCCCTGTTAATTTTGTAGATTTGTTAATGTCTATATTCTCATCTATCCCCCAAATATCAAATACCTTAACACCTACTTACTTTGCTATGGTCTTTTCCTGGAAACTGGTTAGAAATTCATTCTTGGTCTCTACCTCAGACCTGCTGAATCAGAAACTCTGGGAGTGAGGCTGAGCAAAGGGTGTTTTGACAAGCCCTCCAGGTGATTCCAATGCTAGCCAAAGTTTGAGAGACAGTGCTATAGCGCGCCAGAGATTTTGGGTAATGTTTAGAGACACTTTTGGTTGTCACAAGTGGGGAGGGGAGTGCTGCTGGAATCTGTCTAATGGAGGCCAGGGATGCTGCTAAACATCTTGTGTCAGCAGAGCTGAATAGGAGAAATCCTGCTGTAGAGTTTTCGCTGTAGATTGCTAAGGACATTTAAAATTTTGCTTTGTTTTGCTTCACTGTTGTTGTTAAGAAAACAGTACATTTACTATGTCATTTACTCATTATCACATCTGTATTTCCAGTCAGGCTTTTGTCTCCAGCATTCCACGGAAACTAATCAATCATTCTTTTCTTCTTGAAACATCTTCTTTAGTTGGCTTCAGGAATACCACTCTCTTGGTTTTCCTCATAGTTTTCTGGAGACTTCACTTTAGTTTTCTCTACTGTTTCTTCCTTCTCTTCCTGACATGGTACTAAAACCCAAGGGCTCAATTTTCAACTCTCAGATGAGCTTAGAGTTAACATAGCCCTTTGGACTTACTGTTTTTCTCTGATAAAATTTCTGTTGGTTTTGTGGTGTTTTGAATGATGATGAAAATAAAAATTCTTATATTTGGTATAAAATTTTCTCTCAGAGAAGATTTGCTTTTCATATTTAGCTTTAATTTCTTGGTTTTCAGAGAAAGAATGCAATTTATAAGTATACAATATACAAATTATAAAATTTAATTAATTTTCACATAATTAAAAGAATTTGTGCCCATTTTAAAGATTGAAAAAGGTGATTTGTGGTTTCACAAAAATAGGATAATCACTCTAGCTACTGTTATTTCTTTCATATTTCAAGTTTTTGTATTTTTTTCTAGGTTTGTCAAGGGCTATTTAATGAACTACTAGAAAATGGAATTTCTGTGTGGCCTGGTTATTTGGAAACTGTGCAGTCCTCATTGGAACAACTTTATTCAAAGTAAGAAATGTCTTCCTTTTCGTTAAAGTATGTTTATTTAGAGTGTTTGATTATATATATTTTTATGAGTAACAAATAAATGTATCTATATGTAATATAACTTAAAAGTATTCCCATTTACAGAAGTGTGCCTTTAGTTAATTGATACAGCAAGGAACAATATTCATCAGGTATATTTGAGCATATACTATGTGCAACTTCAAGACTTAAATGTCATGAAATATATATTACCTGAGTTTATCAATTTCTCAGGGATGGAATTATGTATATTGGATGCATTTATTGAGTCAAGACTGAGGGAACATGAGTAGAGTGCCTTTTGCTCCCTGGTGTTGTGGTTCATTCTGAGGCAGAGTGGAAAATAACTCTACCCCAGAGGACCGAGAACTAGTCTCCTCGGTGATGGGCATCTCAGCTCAGCCATTCTCTCGAGACTGAAACCTGGTTATATCATCCTTAGTGCCTCCCTCTTCCTTACTCTTCACATCTGATTTGTCACTAAATGTTGTCAGCTACCTCTTAAATATATTTCAAATCAACATTTCCTCATCTTCACTGCCACTACCCAAGTTAAGGTCACCAATATTTCTTGGCTGGATCATTGAAATAATCTCCTAATTGATCTTTCTGTCTCTAAATCTTAACCTTCTGCTATTTCATTAACTTCTGTTTTTTATTAAGGAATTAATTCTTTCCTCCTTTGGGTTTGTCATTTTTTTAGCTTTTTGTGTTGAATACGTATATTTTGAGTGAAAAGTTGTGAAGCTTTGTGTTTTGCTCCTCAGTTCTCTAACAGCTTGAAGAGAGAAAAGTGTCCTGTTCTTATGAAGCTTATATTCTAGTGGGGCAAAATACGCAATACACAAATAAATAAGATAATTTCTGATGGAGTCCTACAAGAAAAGAAACAATGAGATAGAGTGCCTGGGTAAGCAGAAAGAAGGCTAGAAACTATGAGTTAGCATACAGTTATATATTAAGCATGATTTTGGTATGATATGTTGTACACTGGATTTTTATTATAGTAGTATTGTAAAAGACAATCTAAAATAATTTTTCTTGGACTGTATCCAAATACCAAAAGGCTGAGGTAATTCTGAGGTTCATCTATAATATCACCTTGAACGATTCGTTGAGGTACCAGTGTTTATTTTTCAGATTTTATTTTCTTCTATGGCATTTCAGTTATTACAATAAGTCAGAAACTTTCTGAAAGTTTTACTTTGTGATTTAGAAATTTGAATAAGGTGTTTTTTGGTATAGCTCTCAAATGCTGCCTTTGAGTTATGTAACTCTTGAAAGTGGCATGGACTCTAAAGTAATTAAAGCTGGTAATGTAAATTTACAGTTTACATTTGTGTGCATGTATTTTGTTTAACTACTTTTTTTCTTAGATATGATGAAATGAGCATCCTCTTCACAGTTTTGATTACTGAAGCTACTTTGGAGAATGGATTAATACATCTGAGAAGTAGAGACACCACAATGAAGGAAATGATGCATATATCCAAAGTAAAAGATTTTTTAACCAAGTATATATCATCGGCTAAGAATGTGTAGATTTTAATATTGCCATAATAAATATTGACTTTTCCTAATTTGGTTGTCTTATATGAACTTGGATGTGTTTTAGCCCTTTGCACTTATGAAGTGGACATTTTTGGTGCTTTTTTTGATTCAGTTTTTATTTATATTTCTTGACATATTCTATTGTATAAAGAATATGTTTAGCGACAAGAAACAAAAACCCTACTATACTAGATTATGCAAATTGGAGTTTTTCTTATAACAAGAAATTTAAGGGTTAGACTGTCCAGAGCTGGTATAATTATTTCTTCTCTAGTTAGGGAGACAGGCTTTTACTATCTTTCTGTTCCACCATCTTTAGTATGTTGGCTTTTATCTTTATACTTGTTGCTTCATAGTCATAGATGGCTGCTGTATTTCTAGACTTCGCTAGCCAGCGAAGACTCTTCCCTTTTTAATTAGGAAAGTAAAAGCTTTCCCAGGCATTCCAATCAGAAGACTTGTTTACATTTCATTGATCAGAACTTGGTCACATGGTCATTCCTAGGCCAATCACTCTCTAAGGGAATGAGAATATAATAATTAATTTGGATCAAACACAGTTTACCCCTTGAGGCTATCATAGTGTCTTATCTTCCCTGAAATGGGTTTTGTTTTCAGGAAAGAAGGGATTTTATTAAGTCTGCTACATGTCTGCAGTCAAGTATTGAAGATTAACCTAAAACTAAACTAAACTAGAACATTTATTGGTTTTTGAAAAGCTAGCTAAAATGTTAGATGGCGTAATAACTGTTACAGTGTATTTCATATCTTATTCTAATAGATATGTTTATAAGAAATTCTTGAACTTTTATGTGTTAATTGTATTAATATACTATTATTACCAACCTGACAAAAATTCCAACTGATAATTTATGTAAAATATCTCGAAGTTTGGCTAACTTGTCTTCTTTGACTTTACTTACTAGATTTTTATTTTTTATTAATTTTTGCTATCATGGAGAATTTCATACACAAACATATACAAAATAGTATGATTAAATCCATTTACCAACAACCATCAACTTGAGCAGTCTTATCTCATCCACCCAACACCACTCTCCCATATTATTTTGAAGCAGATTGCAGCTATCATTTCATTTGTAAATTTTTTTGTTAAGGATCTTTTGGTAACCATTATTACACCTAAAAAAATTAACACTAGATGACACTAAGAAATTATTGACAGTTTCTTTGGGTTTGATAATGGTATTATGGCTTTATTTTCTTTTAGTCTTTATCTGATAAAGACACTTAAATATTTCTGAGTGAAATTATATGAAATCTGAGACTTGCTTTAAAAATTTCCAGTTTAAACAAAAAATTGGTGGATTATAGATGAAAAATAAGAATAGTACTGAGTTCTTGAAACTGGATAATAGGTACATGGGTGTTGATTTTACTGCCTCTCTGTTTTTGCGTATGAGAATTTTCATAATAAAGTTTTTTAAAAATGAATTTTTTAATATCAAATATTCACTTTTTAATTTTATTGTTTGTTTTAATCAGGATCCAACTAAGACTCATTTGTTGAAATTGGTTCTTTTGGCCTCTCTTATCCTATAGATTTGAACTCTCTTGTGCTTACGTGCTCTCTCTCTGTCTCTCTCTCTCCCAAGAAATTAGGTGGCTTGTTATGGGGTTTTCCACAGTTTGGATTTTATTCGTTACAGCCCCATAGTATATTTTGATGTTTCTCTCTATATAGTTCCTATAGATTGGAAGTTGAATCCAGAGGCTTGATCAGCTTTTAAGTTCAATTTGAGGGGGCAAGATTATTTTATAAGTTGTTATGTTCTCTCATTAGGAGTCAGTAATATCTGGTTGTTTCTCTTCGAGGGATGTTAGCAGTTATTGATTAATGCCTCGATCAGTCAGTTCATTAGAGGTGGCAAAATGGAGATATTCTGATTCTATCTTCTTCACTCATTGGCTAGAATACTTCTATAAAGAAAAACATCTCATATACTGATTGCTTAGAAGTATGGGAAAAGTTTGGGATAAATGTTAGTTTCATCCTTTTTAATCTTTTTGATACTCAAATTGTCCTACCTTTGGCCAATGGGAGCCTTTTCGAGTTGGCTTTGAGTCCTTTTGACCCAATTTTAGTAGTCTTTGATAGCTTGCTTGGTATTTAGTGTATAACATGGAGATTGTGTATTTGAGAGTTCCTTCAAGGAGACTATATTCTGGGTACTAGGGATGCTCATCATTAGAAGGTGGTTTTTGTTTCTAGGCCTTTTGGGTGTTGAGAGCTAGCAAATATATAGGAGTGAATGAGTGTGTGTGTGTGTGTGTGTGTGTGTGTGTGTGTGTGTGTGTTTCCCCCAATATGAATGAAGGATAGCATACCATAATACCTTCTGCATCTTACTCTTAAGTTATTGCTACATATAAGCTACCTCATACTTTTTAAGCCTGTATGTTTTCCATTGTATGACAGTATGATAATTTACTCGTATGGGCCACCAATTGATGGTATCAGTTGTTTTCAATTTTCAGTTACTGTAAATAATGCTGCAATTAATACTCGTGTACATACAACATTTTGTCCGAAAATTAAAAAAAAAACATCATGCATTCACACCAATATTTTCAGTTCAAATTCAGGATTGCAGAATATGTGTGTGTGTGTGTGCACGCACATGCACGCATGTTTTAATCAGGTTTATTGAAATTAATTTACATATAATAAATTGACATATTTTAAATGTACAAATATAGATTTTGACAAATGTGTAACCACCATCACATGACAATATAGAACATTTCCATCACCGAAAAAAAGTGCCCCCAGTCCCCTGTAGAGCTATAAGGTTTTTACTTAACCTCTTCTATCATACATCTGTATATCCTCCCATGCCAAGAATCCCAATTCTCTAGAATACTGAGGGTAATAAAATTAGAATGCCATGCCATACATGCTCATTTGCTCTATCTCACCTTAATCATGGCAGTCTCAGAATTGCAAGACCAATATTACCATTGTATATCTACTTAAATTTTTTAATTTCATTTTTGCAGTTTGAGATTTTTATACTTAGTTTTAATATAACTGTGGGAACCTAAAAAGTTGGGTTTTTTTTAAGTGATTTTTCTGAAGAAAATCTCAGTCCTGTCTGCAGGTACCTCGTTTCTTAAGACTTCAGCCTTCACAGGAGGATTGTATTCCTAGGCTTAGATTATCAAATACCTGAACAGGCAACGGAGAATGTTTACACTGCAGTTGAGGTAAGTAATGTTTGTGAAGAGTTATATAGATCAGAGGTGTCCAACTGGGGTTACACGTTAGAATCTCCTGTGGAGCTTTCAAAAATAAGTATATATGACTCCTATCCCAGACCTACTAAATCTCTGGCAAGTGGGGCCTTTGCAAGTATATTTTTTTAAATTTACAAGTGGTTACTGATGTTCATTCCAGTGTAACCACTGTTAAACTTATCAGAGACCTGCATACCTGGGTGGTATTATTTTGACAGAACTTCCCTCCAACCCAATTGCTTTTAATGAATTTCTCTTGTCTAATGCCCTACTTAGGTATTATGCCATCCCAATATATATGGAAAGATATTAGAAATAGTTATATGAAGCTCACTGCTGATTTAGCTGTAAGAATGTTCTTGAAGGCACTTTGCTATATTATATTGCATGTCTTCCTCTGAAGAAACATAGGAGAAATTTCTCTCAGATTTAAATACCAGGGATAGTTGTGGTGTTCCCAAAGATAGTATGTGTTAGATATTTATGTGTTAGATATTTTTTGTTCATTCATAAAGGCTTTTTGAACACCTAAGTCCCAGAGACTAGGGATATGGTGGTGAGCAAATAGAGACAAGGCCCCTTAAGGGGTGGGCAGGCAGGGACAGGCGATAAGCAGGTAGGTGCATAAGCAATTTGAGGCAATTTCAGACAGCGATAGTGTTTTAAAGGAACTGGAGCAAGATGGTGTGCTAGATCATGGCTGGGGGAGTGCGCTTTACATAGGTGGTCAGGGAAGCCTCTGAGGACGTGACCTTCGAACTGAGATTGAATGATACGAAGGAGCCAGCTATGTGAAAATCTGGGGCAGCATATTCTGGGCAAGGGACTAGCAAGTCTAAGGCCCTTAGCAGAGAAAAGGCATGGAATGCTCAAGGAACAAAGCAGGCAGCGGGGCTGGAGTAGGTAGGTGAGCAGAGGGGAGATGGGTAGAAGGTCAGAGAGGTGGTTGGGGTCCACATCACTTGAGTTGTGGAGGCCATACTAAGGAGTCTGGAAGCCACTGGGGCAGAAGGGGGCAATTTAAGCATAAAAGGAACCAACTGTTATTTTGAAGAGATCAGTGTGGAGAATGGAATGTAGAGGAGCAGAAGAGAAGCAAGGAGACCTGTTAGGGGTGCTGCTAACAGCCCAGCGATGGTGGCCAGGACAAGAAAGGTAGCAACACCCATAGACCCAGCAAGAGGAGCCCCCGTCCTGGTCCCTGCACTTAGAGAGTCCTGCTCTGGCCCTTCTCTGGCTGCACCCTTCCCCACGGGATGTCTCAGGGGCCAAGGAGACATGCTCAGAGGTCACTGTAATCCTTAGGTTTCTAATTTTTCTCACCTATAAGTTTATGTGCTGCTGGGGATCTCAGTTACTGTCTCCGATTGTGTGTGTACTGGGGAGAGGTCAAGGCAAGGCACTAGTCCATGTCTCCCTCCCCTCCCCCCACCCCAAGGGCAGTAACTAGAAAGAAGGAAAACATGAGCTTCAGGCATCACAAAATCTCTGTTGATCATTGAAGTCTCCCCTCCATCTTTGGGGGAAGCAGCACGGAGAGAAGGCAGTCTCCTTAGGCTGTAATCTACCAGCCCTGGGGTGAGGGTGGGGGTGGGGGCGCCGGTCAGCACACCTGGGGGCAGCTCCTCATCCCAGCTAGGTTTTGTGCTGCGCCAGTGTTATCCCATATATATCGCCCTTTCTCAGGTATCTGTTGGATCATTGGTCTTCATGATTTGTAAGAATTGTTATAGATTACGGAACTTCATACTTTATCTGAGACGGGCATTCAAAATATTTCTCCCTAAGTTATTTTTTGGACTCAGTTTATTATTTTTAAATGTACTTTTAAAGCGTTTCATCTGGTTAAATATAACAATCCTGCATGTCTTCTGGATTGTGAATCATACCTAGAAAAGCCTTCTCCTCTTAAAGATTATTTAAAAATTCCTCCTGTTTTCTTTCAGCACTTCCGAGACTTCATTTTAAGGTATTTTAATATTTTTTCTATCCAAATTTATTTTGTTGTAAAGAGTGAAGTACAGGGCCCAACTAACTTTTTAAATGTGGTTCCTAAGTTTTTATAACATTAAATAATCCATCTTATCCCCACTGATTTCAAATGTCATATTTTTAAAATACTAAATTCCCATATATATTTAGATTTTTCTCTGGACTTTCTGTCCTGTTCCATTGTTCTACTTGTCTACCCATACACCAATAATACCACACTTTCAAAATTTTGGTCACTTATAAATGTTTCCAAACCTCATTTATGTTTACTTACATTTCTTGAATCC